ATCACTTTAGGCGAATATCATGAATGTAAATAAATCAGTCAGGGCACACAAACATTGCAGACACAAAATCGGGCGCACCTTACGACAATCAGATAAGAGATAACCAATTTGTTGGCAACCGCAAGGTTCAACTTAAACTGCATTTTGAAACGCCTGTGTAATTTATACATACCTTTATGTTTTTAAAGATAGAAAAGTTGGGAATCTGGCGAAAATTGACTAAATTTACAACCATTGTCCATTAGTTTAGTCTTTTCCATTTTATTAAATCCACGTGAAAGCTTGCAATACGATTATTTTTTCCTACATAATTATCTTATCAATATTATTTATCTTAATTTTGTTTTGTACATTATTGTATTTTACATGAGCAACAAAGTGATTAATAACATTATGATTATGATTATTCTACGAGTATACTATAGGATATCTTTATATACAATAATTACAGCGTTTTCTTCATGAGACAGTACAAACATGTTTTCTTTAGAGGTTAATCTCGCAAGCGCGACATAATTGTAATTGTATTGTTTAAACTCAATTTTTCTTTATTATATTATACATGTATACTACATTTAAACCTTCTTCATGAATCACTTTCAATTGCTGAGCAAACTGAATTAAAATCCGTCGCGTAGTTTAAAAGATCTAAGCGTACACAAAATAGCGCGAAGAGAAGAGATCATTTAGAACGTATGGTAAGGAAAGAGATAAGAGACTAATCAATTACAGCAATTGCCGTAATTTGAGTGCCTCAGTTTCGGTGGGCTACTGTCATATCTACCTCTTATTTATATATAATATCATTGCATAAAATGCATGGGGCGTGGTTCGATTGTCACTATCTCACATGACCAGTGCACACTTTGCTTAGCGTATTATGTACTACCTGAAGCTCTCAATAATAAAAAAAATATACAATAAAATTTTCGACCTTAGAAATACCTATAGTCTATCCTAAGCCATCTTCCATCCACAACGTCAGCGTGGGGGTTCCAATTCTTAGGGGCTTACATCACCTAGCTGCTTAGTCTAGACTGCGGATAGGCAACAAGATGGACTATAAATAGGTCGGTATCCGTGCGACACTCGCATAGAAATAGCTGAGGTCATGAACCGCAAATCGCATTTGTCCGAGCCCTGGATTACGTGCGAGTGACGATATGATTACCTAGACGCCTATTGTACTGCGTTTACGCTGTCGATGATATTTGGCACAGTTTTACTTTGACAACCTTTTAATATTTGGTTAAAAACATATAATTTTATACGGAAAAACCACAATCTCTTTTTCTGCCACTACGATACGTAAATGTAATAAAATCAAACACGAATTTATTGACACGATATTATAACTCCACTTAACTTTGCTTCTATGTAAAATATAGCTAATTACTAATATCAGATATTTGATATTCCAAGTCTCAAATCCGATAGAACTAAAATCACTACAATGCCATATCTCTAGGCGTCGCTAAAAAACATAGCGACATCTTTAATTAATTTGAACTAAATTATTGAACAATCAAAAGCAAGGCTTTTACGCCCGGTTCCTGAAACACTGATCACCGAAGAAGTTAACTAATCAGCTGTCAAGTGGCTTTTCTAGTGTCATTTGAGTTGCCAAAAGGATCGTTATACTCTTTGAAGAAACCGGGCGTTAGTGATTTGAAATGTTAAATTAAATTAATTTATATTATTACTTTGTATATAATTATTGTTAGTACATTATTTAAGAATTATAGGAATAATGTTATTATTTGCAAAATCATTACATTTAACCAGTGTTTGTCAATGTAATAATAAAACTACCTCACACACAGGCCTTGCTATATACAAGTATGCATATTATATTACATGTCTACGAAATATTTAATTTACTAGCTTATTGATGCCACTTTAACAGTGGTAGGTAGAGCAGGTCCGTCCGAATAAATACTACGACCTAACAGAAGATCGTCGTGAAGTGGTAGTGTTATACTCCTTCGTTTCGTCTGGAGAGTGAGGTAGCCGGGGCTCACTTTAATAAAAGCTGGCAACGCATCTGCAACCCTACGAGTGCTGCAAATGTCAATGGGCGGCGGCGCTTCACCTGACGCTAAGTGATAACCCTGATTTTTATGTGAGAACGTCTCACATGAAAAATATCATTTATAAAAAAATCTAAATTTAATCATTTATCGTTTATCGGCGTATGTCGGCGCATTGATGATATATGTATTTTTTTATCATCATTAATGTGCCGACACCGCGATAAAACGCACTCATTTCATTCTGATTTACAAATTAAGTAGTATTTAAAATGTAATGAATCGTATTTAGCATTGGCTTTTTTAAGATTTTTTATTTAGGATTCATTAGCCGTTTTAAAGCTTTAATCAATATACACCGGGCATTACCTCATTGAATGTTTTTCTTGGCTTCCTTCTCGAACTTTTACTTAAGATTGTGTGTATTCCAATAATTATTTACTATTCTATAAAAAATAGCAATATCATATATATCTTTTCGTTCGTTACATATTTAGCAAATTTCTTCAATAACAATGATGTAATATTGAAGATTGGCAGATATAGAGATCCTGTTCACCATGGTCATTGCATAGGCGGCGGTGGCCACTCGCCATGAGATGACCCGCTTGGTCATTTGGCCTTTCTATTAAAAATTATTCTATAAAACAAAAACAATCCAAGGTGTACAAACATCCTCTCTCCCATAACGCATCTATGATATTCTAACGGCTCGCCCATGTATCCAATCTTTCACTATTTAGATATTTCCAGATTTCACTATTTAGGCATTTCTCACTTTCCAGAAAGTTTGAAAGAAGTAAAGGTTTAAGTAATGGTTTTGAGATTAAAAATGCAAAATAAACGATGTCTTTCATTATCTGCGCGAAGACAGCTTTAGATATAATTCCGGGATTCGACTTCGAGCCTCGATGAGCTATTTCGTTTCTTGGACTTCATTGATTAAATGAAACTTTAGATTACATGTTCCGTGTGGCGTATCATTTAGGCTATCAAAGTGTCGATAAAGGCTACTTTCACTTTCATTCCTCTTCACTCAACTTTACTAAACCACGTCGTTTCTATCACTTAATGAACTACTTTAAAATTCACGTAACCAATACAGAAATGTATGCGGAAATCACCATTAAAATTATTACTGATTAACTGACAACATAATTGATTGGAAAATTATGGTTCAATTAAAAGTTAATAAAAACTTTTATATTCAGAGCCATTGAAACGTAACAATTTCAACCCCCTTATGATTCGGCGTTTAAAAGAGTTATTAGATACTCTTTCTTATTTTCTGACACTGTGAAAAAGGTGTTAAAGAAATTGTCACTCACGTGACAGGTTACGTAAGTATGTATGTCAAGCGAGATAATTTTTTTATCGGCGATTTATGACGATAGCTCGGTTTTACACGACTCTACACTCATTGATCCGAGGAATTTACGATAAAAGTATAATTTCCGATGAGTAATTTGTACGGTATATAAAATTTTTGAGGGACTCATGCCGTCCGACTTCGCGGGTTGCTGCAAATTAAAATTGTGTGGAAAATATCTGTTGACTTTTACCTCGGGCAGATTCTTGTTTTAATCTATGCTTGTAATCCATATATAGTTAACCCACGAAACAAGTTGCATCTGAAAAAATAGTTTATCATATTATTGAAGGAAGCGCATTGGGATATTTGAAATAAGGTAGGGAATTGATAATATATCGATACGAAATTAATTTTATAATTTATTCTTAATTGTATACGTTGTGGTTCATTGTATAAAATACGTTGCAGAATGTTTTCAATAATTCTAAACATTATCTCTAACTTATAAAGTTTTAAGGGATTATTTCCATTTAGCTCAAGTTATTTTCAAATTCTGCGCTTTTACGCACCTTGACATTCTTGCGTAATATTCAAGAACTACATTCATGACAAAGTCCGCACATCGATATCGACGTAGTTATATAAATCTTTGTATGATTTAGTTTCAGGCGTTTTTCTTATATGAGTAGGTAGCAAGATACCATACGGTTCGTGTTGTTCATGTTATGTCATTTTCCGCTGCCACCCATTTATATTTGCAATACCCGTAGCTTGCAAGGTTGCAGATGCGCTGCCAATTTTTAATAACGTGGGCTCCGGCTACTACCTTTATCAAAAAGCGGGAGTGTAACATTCCCACATCACGCCGGTCTTTTGTGAGCTCGTGTTACATTCCCGGTCGGAGCTGCCCATTCGTGCAACAGCGAACACTGTTATGTAGCCCTACCGCAGTAGGACCAGTGCTTGATATATAATTTTTATAGGGAATTGACAATATATGCCACCATGCCCTAAATTAGTTAAAAAAGTATACACCCGTCAGAAGATTACTGTGGTAGCCAGACGTAATCTTCTGTTGTTGCAGGCTTAGGTAGGCTCATCTGGGGAAGGGTCACAGCTCCGGAGAAACCCGAAGTGAAGTGGGTATATATGCCCTTTCATTTCGTCTATAAGTCAGGCAGCCGGAACAGTCTGCTGCAATCTGCCGTAAAAAAAAGAAAAGATTAGCATGTCTTCCACAGCACAAAGATACGGATACAGAATATGGTGACATACATGTTATTATTTTCATTAATAAAAATTAACTGTGAATTACAATTTATGATTATCTTGGAACGACTTGGCGACAACTTGATAAAGATTTCTATTAAATCAAATTTTATATATGAACAGATTTTTTTAAAATATGACCATGTTTTCATTTGTTACAGATGTTTGTAAGAAGCCATGCAAAAGACGAGTCAGAACACACTAGTTGAACTGATGATGAGGAAATAGACACGCTGTTGAGTACAGCTCAAATTTCCTCCCAAGAAATCTTCAAGGACAAAACACGCACATGCGTTTTAAGTCAAGGAGAGCTGAAATCACTTTGATGCCTTCTGCAATTCCAGCTAGTAGAGGCTTTTGAACTTTGAAAAAGGTATCGCGGGACAAAGATGGCGTCGTGTCTCGCCGGCGGCCATTTTGGGCCTGGCAGCCAAGAATACATTCCAGTCGCCGAATTTTATGCGGACAAGTCTGTTTTTGTTACCGGGGGCACAGGCTTTATGGGAAAGGTATGTTTTTGTACGAGTATTATTACAGCATTGTCATAAACGATAGCTTATTTTGGTCCAAATATTTTTTGCCCGCTTAAAATATTGTTTACTCTAGAAACATTTGCCTTTTTCATTTAAACAAACAAATATGTGAGATTTTCATCATGATCAAAATAAAAAAATAAATCTTGTACTTTCATAAATTTTACACTCTATGTAGTTCATATTAAGTTATTTAAAAACTTTCATATCCTAATTTACTTACTCTATGATATTTCCGTAACAACATTCCAGAAACAAAACATCATATTTGAAATGATATAAATTAACAAGGGGCAGATCTCTCATCTAATTAGCTGTTTACATGTCTATTAATGAATAAACAAAACGTCATTTAGATATTTTACGCTATATGTAGTTTACATCTTTCCGTGTGAACTTAATAACTGAGGGACCTGCTTCCATAGCAATCTTATTAGATTAAAATAGAATAGAATATACTTACATACAAGGAAGGTATTAGGAAGGAAGGTATTGCATACAAGGGAATACATAGAAAGAAAATACAGGAAACATAGTGTACACATAGGGGGCCTTATTGTGTATGTATTAACTGATGTTTTTGCTTTCCAGTCCCGAGACTATTAAAGCTTCATCGGACGCAGAACCGGTGGGCTAGCCAGAACCCACGGGTTTGGACCCTCCGTTTAACTACTATGGTGTATAGGGGGCCTTATTGCTAAATTTCTTTCAATAGCCAAACGGGGGATATACAGCTGATTCTTTTCCTTCTAATTTCACCACGAACGCCTATTCTTATTTTAATTTAGCATCGTTGATTTTTTTAATCAGCTTTATAAGAAACTGTAAAACTTAACAGTTTCTAAAAAAAGTTTTTATACGTTAAGAAATTATTTGTCTTGTTGCAGTTTCCAAAAGACCAGTACTTTATATTATAATAATTCCGAATGCGGAAGAACTTTATTTCATTGAACTAAATTTATCCTTCGTGTCTTATTTTGTTTCTTCTCAATAAAGAATGAAAATATTTTAATAAAATAATGCCGAATGTTTATTTCTTTACCAATTGAAATACCTTGTATTCGAATATAGTAAGCGATTTCATGGTCGTACCATTATTTATCGAAAAAGAAATATCATAATATAAAAAAGAATTTACATATTATAATGAAATAATCATACACATAAAATATTCGATTTTATTAATTATTATTAATATTCACCTTAGTTGAAACACGTTTACCTGCATTAACTTCACGGTCATAGTATTGCAGTAGTAGAAATATAACTTACTCATCATGTTGAAGACATTGAACTAGACGAGTGCTATTACACCTGAGTTATAGTGGCACTATTTACCAAAAACGGATATGAAACGATATATTTTTATGTAACTTACAATCTGAGACTAATTCAAAGTCTGTTAAACTTTTAATTTATTTATAACCTTAAATAAACAACAACAAAGTCAACTAATATTGTGAAATAACTATGCGTGAAAAATACGTGAAACATAATTTCAATCACTTATATTCAACATTAACGGAAATTTTCATAACATAATCTATGTTAGTTTTCATTGAAAAATGTGCACGCTCAACAAATTTTACGATCATAATTTTGTCGTACATTACATTCTTCCCGTGTTTATGTTAATTTTCGCGTTTATAGTTTGATTGTCATTGTTTTTTCAGGTGCTAGTCGAGAAGTTATTAAGAAGTTGTCCAAAAATCAAGAGGATTTATCTATTGATGCGGCCTAAACGGGGACAAGATGTAGCATCACGTCTTACTGAACTCACACAATCGCCTGTGAGTCTATTATTTTCCCTATTTATGGTGCAATTTTAATTCATTTTTTTCTCTTCCTCATTTTCTGCTTCTTTTCTTTATACTCATTAACACTACCGTACGGTAAGATTATTCCATATTGTGGAGCCACGAAACAGATTTCGCTGTTGCACGAATTAACCTTCTGGTCCAGAGCAGTACCAAAAGCTTCATAATGGAAAGACCTTTGTGAAGTTATAAGTGTCTAAATTCGCCGGTGAGTGTTGTAATCGAAGCACGCGCTATTAATGGTTTTAGTCACATCTACAACTCACAGGTGTTGCAGATACCTATCGGTGGCGGTAATCATTTAACATCGGTTGAACCACCTGATCACATCGTCACATAACGAAGAAGCGCAAAAGCCCTAATCCGAAACCGGTATGTAAACCATATGAATACACTTTTTTTAATTGGACATCGAACCCACGGTCCGCTACTTTCAAATCTATCTGGTTTACCAACTGCGTCAACAGTGCCTCTTGTCTCGGACCAGAAACTAATTTATCAATCAAACCGTTAATAAAAAATGTGTTTAACCTTTCAACATTTGACAGCTTTTTGAAACCCTGAGGAAGGAACGGCCACAAGAACTCAACAAGATCGTGCCGATAGTTGGCGACATCACAGAGCCCGAGCTCGGCATCAGTCCTGCAGACCAGGCCATGCTCTGTCAGAAGGTAGGCGTAGGCAACCCATCAAACCTTTAATCGCGCACACCCATGTCAGATTTTTAGGCTTCCGTATCCAAAAAGTAAAACGGGACCCTATTGCTAAGACTCCGCTGAGTGTCTGTCTATCCGCCTGTCACCAGGCTGTTTCATGACGGTTAAAGTTAGATAGATGATATTTTCTCAGATGAGGTAGGTATTTCTGTTATAACTAACAGATAAAAGATTTAGATTCAATTATAATTAATGATATTACCTACTTATTAATGTGTGCGTTAAAATACATACATATAGGAATAAAAGTAAAGGACGACCACATTATAAGTGTCAAGATTTTCGAGACTGAATATGTTAATGTACGATGTCTCATACGGGTCAATTAGGACCTTCATATTAAGGTTATCCTAATAGTCATTTTATGAAATTCATCATTCCTAATTCCCTTTTCAGTATAAACCAAAATAGCGAAATAGCCTACATGTATGACTCCGGAGCTAAATTGTCATTGGACAGTACGAGGTTGACTGTACTCTTCGTTATAATCGCCCTCGACAGGTATCAGTGGTCTTCCATTCAGCGGCTACGGTGAAGTTCGACGAGAAACTGAAGCTCTCCGTTACAATCAACATGCTGGGGACACAGCAGCTCGTTCAGCTCTGTCACCGCATGCTGGGTCTCGAGGTAAGCATTACAATAATAATCACTACTTATCTTTTTTATTTTATGTTGGAAAAAACCAAATGAAAATGGTACGATTCTTGCGTTTATGCGAATGCTTTTCATTTCTTTTCAAACACTACAAAAGCATCCATGTTAAATGACCTTACTAAGATTACCGATATATACGGCCGCACTCATAGATTACAATAAAGTTTAAGTGGTCTTAAAATTGATTATCTGTGGTATAAAAAAATATTCAAGGCCCAAACATTGTAAACGAAAAAACTTTATATTAACTTTGTGTTAAATAACGTATCTGTACTCATAGGTAGCGTAAATTCTTTATATTAATAATTAAATGCGGCCGATAAAATTATCACCCTATACCCAGCTTTGGACGACAATTTATTTTTACCCCCATCTACGCGGAGTCTTCTATTTTAAAATTCGAATGTTGGTACAGTCCGTAGTCTTGGTTAATAGTTTTGACGATCTATAATTTGGTCACAGAGTTATTGTTTAAAGTTAAATTTATGTTTAAATTTATTTACCTACAACATAGAACCCGGGAATGTTCCCACAAGCAAACGTCGCATTTTTTATCATCTATTAAAAAAATATTTCTTGAGTACATGAAAAGCATTAATTAACAAACAATTCATTTCATTCATTATTTATTATTATTTAGTACTAAGTTAAAACAAACTCATTTTTTGTTTCTTATTCAAAACGTGTAAGGAATACAATTTGACGTTAAATATTTTTCCCATCAGCATAAATTTTAACTTTATTTAGTCGTGTACCATTTCGAACAATATTTTGTTTAATGCAAAGGTCAAGTTGATTTTACGGCATCATAACGTCTAACATTCCAATGCAAATACTTTATTTTATTCTCCTTGTCATCTTATAAAACTTTGATAAAATAAGCCAATTCAGAATTAATTTTATATAGCATTATTTAATTTTATATTATTATTACTTAATTTTATATAGCAAAATTATGACACCATTTGATACTGTCGAAATAAATAGATATTTTATTTACTTTAACTTAACTAGTTGTTATAATTTATAGTTACTATGCATATTTATAGCTGTACTATAAATATCATGAAATGGTTAAGTTATTATCAAAAAGGCAAATTATCAAAAATTGTGATGAATTGCATCTGATAATACATTATAATAACACTCATGTAAAGGAGAACTTTTATATACAAATTTTCACGAAAGCCTTCAGAATTCTTTATAAGAAACTTTCATATTTATGACATTGAATGAATTATGTATTTATTTTGTGTGCAAAGTTAAATCATGATTCACGCCTGTAAACTTACATATACTCTTATAATGAAAAAGAAAAAAAAAACAAATGTCTTTTTTTCTGATTATATCCTTATCCTTGGCATTTAAAATGCTCACGTTTTTGCCGTCAGGTGATGGTTTATTTATAGGTAATGTTACTTTTAAAATACAGTTATACAGCAATACTAGTTTTTTAAAATACGTAACAAAAAGTTATATCCAGATATTTATTCCTAGTGATTCTCGTGTATGTAATATCAACGACAATCATTTGTATGTATATGGACGTTTTGACTGCTTTTTGAATTGCATTATTGATGTTTTGCGATCTACGGCCAAGCAATTTTCTTAGCTGCTAAATTCTTAACATAGGCATGATCTCAACAACACTTTAGAAACAACACAAAAGTAAATGATATTACTTTAAAATTGCATGAAATAAATACTAGGAACAAACATAAATTAATTCTTTTTACAACTAGACTCCGTAAAATCATTAATTCTTTAAAGACAATGTATACCGTTTTATAACAAAATCCCAGAAAATGTTCACAATGTGCCAATTTTTAAATTAAAAAAAATTAAAGGAACTTTTGTGTGTTATAGGCTCTTATCAGTTAAATGATGAAAATGGACTACAGTTTTATTTTTATTATTATACATAAATTATACTTTATATTATTACTCACGAGATATTACTGTTTTATATATGGATATACTGTTTAAATATCATGTTTCATGACCGTGATCGTAAAACAGTTGAAATTTTCACGGATGGTGTATTTCTGTTGCCAATATAACAAGTAAGTTAAGGGGGTAATAATGGTACCGGAACCGTTTGTGCGCGAGTCCGACTCGCACTTGGCCGGTTTTTATTCTTCTGAACCGGCTGTAAGCCGTGTGTTTTGACAATCAATAAGTAAATGTAATGATTCTATATTGAATCAAGATATTTGGTTTTGTTTTAAAAACCACATAGGACTGAATGTATTATTTAAAATATAAACCTACCTACGTGTCTCACTGTATATATCTATATGATGTGATTTAACTGTTAATGTGAAACAATTAGCTGCGAACCAGAATGGGAATACTTTCTCACAGCATTAATTGTATCATAGACTGAATAGCTAACATCACTAGCAGTGTGTTATATATTAATCTATGGTTGCTTGTCGTGGGTCCCTTGTCGGGGAGACGATTAACCGAGGAGAGAGTTTGGCCAGATTTATATAATAATATAATATTTATAATAAAACGATAAACGTTCCTCCAATAACTGTTTTATTAAACAATACATTAATATCGTCAAAGGACCTTGACGCAGAATGCATGAAAATTTACTAATCGATTCTTCCTACTTTAAAACTAGAGTAGGATAAACAAAACTTATTAAGGTGAATTGTTTCTAGGCGCTGGTGCACGTGTCCACGGCTTATTGCAACTGCGAGCGGGAGCGAGTAGAAGAGACGGTCTACGCACCACCAGCGCATCCGGAACACGTCGTCACCTTGGTCCAAACTCTTCCCGATGACTTAGTGGATAGGATCACGCCGGATTTAGTCGGTGAGTTTAGCTGATTGTTTGCTGAGCCCTTAGATCATTTTTAATCACGAACCGGCTAGTGCCGCAAGAACTTTGCAGAGAGGATGGAACCTTGAGGGACTCCGGTGATTGTTGATAACTGATACATCGATTATTTTCTTCAAACTTTTGTAGCCCATTAATTCCTTTTTAAATATTGAGGAATGGTGATTCCTATGCTGCTCTTTCAGGTATTACTTTTTAAATATTTGTTTGAATTCAGTCACAAGTCAAATTTTCTAAAATTTCCATACCAATCTAAATTAAATAACACAATTTTAATTTTATGTATTTATGCAAACTTAATGCATTTTTGTATCGTACTAATCATAATTATGGTTTAGTGACAACCACCGCCCATGGACAAAAAAACCCGCTAAAAGAGAAAAAAGAGTTACAAAAGTGTTGCCACATTTTTATAAAGTGAGCCCCGCCTACATCACTCACTACTAAGAAACGCAGAAGTATAACACTTACACTTCACGCCGGTCTTCTGTGAGGTCGTGGTACTTACCCGAACGGACCTGCCCATTCGTGCAACAGCCGAAGCTGTTGCGTGGCTTTACCACCGTTTACACCAGTACTGGCACATGGGATAAAATTTTTATTTATTTTTCTTTTGTTACACTTAAGTAATATAACTTCTTACGTGCGTACATAAGTACACACACATACATACACTTATTTAATAAAATTTTAATAAAAAAAAAATTATCGTTAATTTCAGGAGACAGGCCGAATACATACACATTCACAAAGGCTCTCGCAGAAGATATGCTCATAAGGGAATGTGGAAACCTGCCAGTTGCGATCGTCAGACCATCCATAGGTTTGTATTAGAAAACTTTTTTTATTGGACTTGTAAATCGAATAAAAAAATTCAATATCAAAATTTTTCTTTCCACATAATTTATATAATTTTAGATGCCTCCTGTCAATCAAGACTATAGTTAGACCAAGAATATAGTTAACCACAGTTACAATATATAATATATATAAATATATGAAATAATATGTACTATAAATATATAGAAAACATAGTGACATGGTCCGAGGTTCTATGGATTTGGTATCAGAAACTTATCTTTCTATATAGGGGAAGATTGGCACCATTCGTACACTTTTTATACTTTGATTTTTAAAACATCTGATATCAAAGATAAATTGCTTAATCTGTTGTTATAACAAATTACATACATTCAGCTTCCTAATAAAAAATTATGGAATCATTATTTCTTAAAATAAATGAATGAAATGCATTTTAATAAAAGATGTCAAATGTCCAAATCTACCCCACTATAGGGGTACATTCGTACAATGGTAGGGGCACATTCGGACGATAGGTTGGTAGGTAGGTACAAGTTAAATAAAATAGCAAATCAAGTATGGAAACTCATATTAATTGGCATTAAAAATAGCAATGATGTAATAAACTAAATGACAAAACTTTTATCAACAAAATACATTAATTTCTTAGAAAAATAAATCAATAAGTAGAAAAAACACAACATGGTGCAGACTGCACTAATTTTTAACCCGGATCACTCAATATGAGATATATATTTTAGTTATTTGGTGTATCAGACATAAGTTGAAGATAAACTGTAACTACTTAAACATATCTTTTATACACAGTTTTCAAATTATCGTAAAACTCATTTACGACTGTTTTGTTGAAAGTAAAATATCTAGCAGCACCCGATTTTTCGGGTTTTCTTTAACTTAAACTACTATTTCTCTTCCAAAATCCATGAATCCAGCCTTTCCAGTTTCATCTCATTTTGGAGGAGGATATAAACATTTCAGAGCTTTAGCATAATCATATGCCAGCTTTTTGACGTTTAATATTTTGAGCCTGTAATGCATTTTTGTGCTTTTTTCTATATATTCGTTTAATTGAGACTCTTGTTCTTTAGAAAATAATGTTGATAACTGGTGAATTTAGACTGATACGTACGGCTCATGCCAGCATCATCATGTTTATCTTTTACTTTCTATACCCGACTCTCCAAAGTTAATGTTATATTATCCGTAGCTTTTTCGTAAGATATTATTTTTCCAAATCATCTTTTATTGCCGAGGACATATTTTATTCATTTATTAATGTAGACCTAGTCTCTTTTTTCTTGTAATTTCGCACCATTTTCTGAAATAAAAAACCTGTTAATAGATGTGGCCAAACAGTTAGAGGGCACATTCGTACGCGTACGAATGTGCCCTCGTGTAGGCGTACGAATCTGCCCCGAAGGTAAAAATTGAAAGATTTTTACCCACACATTAATCATTTATAAAAATCAACAAAAAAGCTACATTATTTCTTTCGTGATCCTAGTTACTTACCAATTAGCAAAAATCCAATAGAATTTATCACTTCACATTACCACGAAACACCCGAAAACATCGACAAGATATTTACGCTGAGCGTGCAAAAACACATTACATCCTCTAGCATTACTCGCAATGGCCGCACTGGCGGCTAACTTCGTTGACAACTGACGGCCGCCCAAGCATACTCACACACCCAAAGCTGGAATAAATACATCGTTCTAACAGGCGGTTATAGTGACTGTATGATGCTTCCCCGTGTACGAATGGTGCCAATCTTCCCCTAAGTTAAGAACAATGTTCTTCTTAATTTTTTACATCGTATTATTGCAAATATAGTAGCAATCCTTATTTTTTTTAATCATCTCTTCAATATCATCACGTCTCAAAATGATATTGAAACACAAAAAAAATTATACCTTTTGATAAATTAATAGAGATTAATATTACAGAAGGAACTGAAAACAGCTATAACTTATAATTTTCATTACTTATTTTTTATTTATTTAATGATTAATTTTATTTATTTATGAATAAACACTTATCCTTATTAACCAACTATTACAACTACCTTAAGATTAATTACGGAGATTGTAACTACGAATTTGTATTGGAGTAATGACGGCATCGCTCGTTTAGATTTCCAATAAATATATAAATCTGTAAGTCAGAGGCATGCAAAATAAACACCACATTTTTCAAAAATATTTTTCTTACATCGTTAAAAGCGAGAACAAATTCTACACATCACTACAAAGCATTAATTTCTACGACACCTAATTAATAAAATATCCAATCATATGTCATAATAATCAATAATGCTTTCTAGGATTAACTCGGGCATTTTAGCCTCTCCTGTTAAATTTGTATTTTGTCACATAATGCTGTTAACCCCTGAGGTACAGAGACAAAGATATTAATAGACTGGACGGTTTCAATAACGGGGGCGGCCTATATTCAGCAGTGGACTCAAACCGGCTGAAATGATTATGATGATGAGGGTTTAAATTTTCGCGCAGTGCTGTCCTCGGTCCGGGAACCGGTGAAGGGCTGGGTGGACAACTGGAACGGGCCGAACGGGATCATCGCCGCCGTGGGCAAGGGAATCTTCCGCACAATGCTGGGCAACGGCACACGGGTCGCGGACCTCGTGCCAGTGGACACCGTCATCAACCTGATGATCGTGTGCGCATGGCGGACCCACTTGAAGCGGTGAGGAGAATTTCACCAACTGCCTTGACGACGTAGAACTTAAGAACTCGCGAAAATAAAATGAAACCGAGCCTTCTTTGGCTTCTGCCGTAGCGGTAAAATTGCATCCGTTAATTTAAATTTTATTCACGTATAAGATTTCATAGTAATAATCTCTGCACTTGAGATGAAACATTAAAATTTGTGGAAAAAGCGACTAGGTGCGATTCCGAAAGATACCGTAAGACGCGGGTTCGATTCTCGCAACGACGAAAAACTTTTCGTCAATTTTTCTATAAATTTTAATCACATCCATTAAACTGATATGCCATTCAAGTTCTCTTTGATGTTTTATTTATTACATTTCTTCCGCCTACAATCTTTATGCCTAAAACGTTGTTATCATAAAGTGCTTGAATGAAATTGATTAATTATGTGTATTCGTATAATATATTCACATTTTAAAATATATTATTATTTTATTCGCATAATATATATCTTATGCAATTATTGTTGACAGGGGTGATGGAGTTGTTGTATACAACTGTTGTACCGGCCAACAGAACCCCATTACGTGGCAAAGTTTCGTCAAGACCAGTTTCAAGTACATGAGAAAACATCCCTTTAGTAAGTAACAACCTTATACATTTTCATTTTGCAAATTCTTTATTACTACATGTGTTGATAGCACAAAAACACAATTTTTTTTTACTACAACTTTGATGTCTGTAAATGCTACCTTATTATTTAATAGTTAATTTAGTTCTTTGGTCATCACTGAAAATCAACGTGGCAGTTTATACTATGACGTACTATTGTAAAATAGTAAAATTATACATATTGGAGGTTTATATTTATGTCCATGTTTTATTTTTATTGTTTTAATTCAAATTACAGTGTTGTGTAAGTCATTCTGTTTTGTGTCAAATAAATCTCTTTCTTTATTTCTTCTTCAATTATTTGAATTGCCAAAATACCTCACTACACTATAGCTGACTGGTAGAAAATGCCTGAAGACTATTTATTAAGAATAAATATATAAAAGTACAGTAAAAAAAAGCTTCCACTGCCCACTCGCGTCTTTTTATGTTTCTACTAATCATGTGTACATTAGTATGCATGGAAATAATAGTATTTTTATGTATCACAAAACATCGCTAATTTACCTATTATTATTTCTGTTTACAAGCTTCAACGATAATGAATAGAACTTAGAATTTACTCCCTTAGCTGAAATGCATCATGCCCATGCAGGCGCTTTAACCACTCAACTAAACGGCTGATTGCCACGTCGACAACGAATGTCAACGACTTTTAAATTGTCTTTTCGCATTTTAAGCATTTATTGGCGTATCTATTGTTATATCCTTTTTCAGAAAAGCGGGCTCCGTGATGTGTTAGCTAAATGTTTATATGTTGACAAGGCTTCGTTTTTGCGCTCTCCGTGGTCAGTAGGGTCACGAATCAGTTTTTGCTGTTTCACAAATGAGCAGGCTCGTCTGGATAAGTCGCCCTCACAGAAGACCCGCGTGAAGTGAAAATACTCTACTTTCGTTTTTCATCATGTGAGTTAGATAACCGGGGCCAACTTTTACATAATTGTCCACACATTTGCAAGGTGTTGTAGATCTTCACATGCGGAGTTAGTCACTTAACATCAGGTGAAGCGTATTCTCGCTTGAGTACCTTTCACATATAAACTGCAATTAAGTTGTTCCGGCGCAGGGGAGGTGGTCTGGTACCCGGGTGGCGATATTACCAGCAATCGGCTGAAACACGGCGTACTGTCCCTTCTTCAGCATCGCATGCCCGCTCACGTGATGGACCTCGTCTCCAAGGCCACCGGCAACAAACCGATGTAAGTTCGATCCTTATAACATCGTCACATTTAACAGCGCCGATTTTAAGTCACAACTCCAATTCAGTTCACATTACTTGACGATGAAAGCTTGCGCATTGCTGTAGGAATCCGTCTGGGGGCATCGATTGTCATGTTGTTGCTGATGAAACTAGGTCCGTGGGGTCCACGCACATAATTTTTTTTAAATTTTATGTTCTAGGCTTAACGCCGCGGCTGTTTGATAAGAAAGCTGGTTCTTTTCTCGCTCAAAGTTTAAGCATTCAGCGAGGAAATGCAACTAGCGTTCTTGTCACCATGCCGCGTGGAAAAGGTTTATTACATAATATTTAGTTTTAGATACTAGATATTATATAGTAATATTTAGTAGACAGAACATATAGATTGTTAGAACATGTAGTTGATAATGAGGTTTAATAATATTATATAAAAATTCAGTGTCACGATATGATAATAAGGGGTTAAAGTGAACTAATACTCTTAAACTATACTACATTCACTTGAGTTATGCCATTCATCTACTGTTCGGAATAGATGTCTCTTTCATAATAAGTTCTCTTTAATATTTTATATGTCACATTCCTTTTGCCAGTCAGTCTTTGTAGTCACAATATAACAGTGATTGTTTAAAAAGGGCAACCAACGCATTCGCTTGAGTCAATAGTATTGGCAAAGGTTTCTCATCATTTATACATATATAAATAATAAAATGTATACAAATTGCTATAATACACTCGACTGAGCTTTTGTATTGACCGTTAAAATCAAATAAACCAACCATGAGTAAAACTGTAATGAATAATTCCTTATATGCTTGTAGTCAGCGAAATAATGATCGCGGATGAAACGTTCTTATTTTTCAAATTTCTAAAGTTCTAAGTACATCCCGGACCATCCCAAGCTTTATCTTTTAAGCCTTTCTAAAAATCTTAAGCCACTACTGCGCACATTCGAGTTCTATGATTTACTTTAGTCCTTAATTCAAGGTAATGATTAAAAATTAGAAGTTTCTTCGATCGCTTGCTAAGAAATACAAATTGGGGCTATTCCAAGAGGTTACTTGTGAGGGGTCCCTCCGGTACTGGCTATATCCCCGGCATTCTTACACGTTGCCAAGGCCAAAACCAAACACTTGCGCCACATCCCCGTATCCGCGGCATCCTTACACGTTGCCATGGCTACAACGAAACACCTGCATCGTCGCCTCCAGGATGGTGCGGGTGCAGAACAAGCTGGAGAAAGCGTCCGCCTGCCTCGAGTACTTCACGACGCGCCAGTGGGCGTTCTCCGATGGCAACGTGCAGGCGCTGTGCCGCCTCCTCTCGGCGGAGGACCGCGCCACCTTCGACTTCGACGTCACCAACATCGACTGGGACGCGTACATCGAGTCGTACGTGCTCGGCATAAGGAGGTTCCTGTTCAAGGAGAGCCCCGACACGCTGCCCAAGTCGCGGACCCTGCTGCGGAGGTGGGGATTTGTTGCTTTTTTATTTTTTTTTAATGATGGCTAGACTCTTCTAGTGCGATCTTCTCTCCTCTTCTCCCGTGATCCCTCAGTGTCCAGACGCCAACGTCCAATTTTCGATAATTATGTTCGATCAACCCGAGTTGAGATCCCGGTACCGGTACCAATGAAATTGTTAATTGCAACTTTATGTGCTGATTTAAAACATGCTCGTATGTGAAATAAACCTGTATATTTTCACAATAATAAGAAGAAAAAAATATTTCGAAGATATAGAACCTCACAACCACTGTTCAGGAAAGGCCCTTACCCAGGGGCAGGAAATGTTTAATACGTGACTCCACTTTGCTTTTAATTAAAAAATACAATGGACTATGCACCAACAAAAGAAGTGGAATCTGTGAAGGCTGTTACTTTACATTGCTAATAATTAAAAACTGCACATATTAAATGAACAAGCGGTTTACCTGATGCTGTGATCACTGACGTTATCGGATAGCCTAGAAATCGGGAGGCGGATGCGCTAACGATATTGAGGCAGTGTTCCTCCGCATCCCAACAGGCAAAAATTAGGTGTTTGTATTTACTGCACTCCTTATAAATTCCTTGTCGGTTTCTCTTCTTTAATAAAAATTAACAAATGGAGCAGGCGGTTCGCCTAATGTTAACGAACTAATACCGTCCATGTATGTACTGTGTGTTTTTTAATGTTTCCTATCTAAAAGTGTGTCCTGGCTACCTCACCAGGCGAAACGCGAAAGTATACTAATTCACTTCATGCCGATCTTCCCCTGACGAACCAGTTCCTTCGTTTAAGAGCAGAGGTTGCTGCGTGGCCCTCCCGCTCTGGTTTTGTTTGTTATTTTTGTTTCATCATGAATTATGTTGATGTTGATGAATTATGTCACACATCATGACAAGTAGGTATGATATAAGGATGTAAATTACTTTAAGTAAAGTACGAATAACAGCCTATATAAGAGTACGTTCCGCTGCCAGCAGCGGGCATATAATTTAGGCTGGCGTCAGGCAAAGGTATCTTCTGTAGGGTATAGTCAACCACGAGGTCCCACTGCGAATTGACTTCACATGTCTTCGAAAAATATTGTTTTTTATTATTAAAAAAAAAAAGGTTTCCGCGCGATGTTTTCCTTCACCGCTGAGCAGGTAAGGTTGTTTAGTCAGCACTTAAATTAACTACACTTTTACAAAAGCGAGCGGGCCAGTCACTAGCTATCACAGCTTCTAAATTACTGTTCTGTTAACCTTATGCCTTTATTTCGCACATGAAATGTTACCACTGTTAACAAGCGCGTACCGTTCGCAGGTTACGCATATTGCACGTCATCACCCAGGTGGCAGCCGTGTTCGTCCTGTGGCGGTTCCTGTTCAGCCGCTCGGACGCGCTACGCAACCTGTGGCGTCACATAGTCGAGGTGCTAACGCGGGCGGCGCGCCTCCTCGCAATCGCCTGATGCCGGGCGCCCACGCAAGCTGAACGCGCACACCGCTGACGGCGCCCCGTTATGAGTTTGCCGCTTCAGCACCCGCCGCGACACAATACCTCGTTCCACGTCCGCTCGCGCCGACGTCCGCCGCAAAATGGCCGCCGCCGATTGTTACGGTCGGAAATTTAAAAAAAAAAAACTGGGGAGGAAAAGCCCGCGAAACTGTTCGACACCGCGTAGATATCGTACGACACGCCAATCGGACCGCTCTAGCGTTTCTCACGTCTTCTCGTTAGCTTAATATGATGAGCTGTTATATTTCGCTTCCACTGAAGCGATGCGACGAGACTTGAACGGAACACTTTGTAATTAAATATATCATTTTAGCTGCCAACGTTTCCCCATTGCAGGCGTAACATAATATAGTTCTGTTATAATGTTGGTTATACGGAACATTTATTCCAAATTATTTTGTACCTATATTACAGCTGAATAGATATCGATACGTTCAAATCCTGTATAGCAAAGTAATAATAATCTAAAATATCGTAACGCCGTTTGTCCGTCATTGTAGTTTGCGCTACTACTTACTAGTACAAAAGATACATAGAGAATTTGCTAAAAACGTGTAAAAAATGGTGCTTTCACCTTCTATATCTTAAATAAATAGTAATAAAAGCTGTTGATCATTAGGTAGACACATAACTTTTATGTCTAGTAGTCCTAGTGTAAACAAGTACATATATTATCTAATGAAAAAAGATTTTGGGATATTCAACAAATTAATTACCTACATCCGATAATTTGTATTCTTCTTGCTGATTACATTTTATTTTCTCAAAAAACCTTCAATATAATTTATAAGTTTCCACGCACACAGTTAAGCATAATTTCTATGTATCTATTGTGAATAGTTTTGATTACAAAATCGTTAGCTATCGTGTAACTGTTGAACTTTAGTCAAAATTTATTTATTTATTTCCATTATATATTTAACTCGTTAATCAATTTACACGCCCTTTTCGATACAAATAAATTTTTTGACGAAAAATTCGCTATTATTTAAAATAACGTGAAAGCTCAAAATTATTTAAAAAAATAGGCTATAATAAGTTAGTCGGAATTGATTGTTAAATGAAAAAAATAGGAAATTCATTAATAATTTTAATAAAATATCGCGTTGCATACATCTTAGGAGCGGTTTTGGAATATGTACTATATACATCATTAAACAAAAATCTAAGAGCAACCCGTTGAGTGCATCTGTAAGGTACAGAAAACTGTTTCAAAAGTGAGTTAACTTGTATTTATTTGTTTCATTGATTATTTTATTAAAACCATTTAATGGTTACCTCTTTTTTATCAGCATACTAAGTATTGAGAAAAAGTGCTGAACGACCAAATATAACTTATTTTAAATCGGAAATACTTTTGAGCAAATGAATAATATTTAACATTTACTGGCACTTAGCTTTTTTATGCGAGAAGGTGGCAAGTGTGCTGTCGGTTCACCCGATGTTAAGTGATAACCCATGGATATTGTGTGGTCGTGGTGCTTACCCGGACGGACCTGCCCATTCGTGCAACAGCCGAAGCTGTTGCGTGGCCCTACCATAGTTAAAGTTTTCCGGTGTGCCACTGATGATATGTAACTACCATAATTTAAGAAGCTTTTATACTTAATTTTTATTTTAACAATAATGTTAACCAATTATATCTTAGTTATCGAGAAAATTATATTAAGTTAAATAACTGAAAGTATTCCACGAACTCTTTGATTCAGCAGTAAATTAAAGCAGTAGTTTTTAAAACGCCTAGTTTATTTGAATGTTTTCAATGAACGAATAATGTGACGCGAAATTGCGGTAAAGCGTTTGTGAGCGATATTTGTTCACGCGATTGCATCAGAATTCTGGACGAAATGCGCTACAATTCTAATCATTCGCTTCCAAAGATGTATCTACGATATCGCGTAGGTTGGTAATTTAGGACCATGTTGCATTTCACGATGCTTCCCTAGTGATGATAGATACGTAATATGTCATTTTCATTTCAGCTACCATATTAAAATTTTGTTATTTTATGCTAGATGTAATTATTGAGAGTAATTGAGTGGAGAACTGTTAACAGATATTAAGAGAAATGGCATTTTGTCTAGATAGATACGCCGATAGTCTTCCTTAGCTAAAAAAACCGTCTTATGGCAGTCATTGACGGTTTACTAATTCCTTCCTCTTTAACAACAACTTTTTGCAATTAATTATACAACCGTAATTTGCCATATTTGAAAGCGACGTCTTCTACTAAATGATCCAGTTTCGGTGTAAGTTGTACTTGTTAAGTATTGCCTAAGTTTATACGACACGTTGTTTAAGTGCTAGCGTTTCTCCTAAAGTTTAAGCTTTACGCGAGACGCTTATGGTCTCGTGCCAGATGATGATATGGCCCAGGCAATTGCCATAAAAATTTGAAATCCATTTTCTTAAACATCGTGGTGTGTTAACGAAAGATTGTTTCATTGTATTACTAAATGATTAATACTATTTGGCACATTACTATTAATTATTTATACCAACTGGTTGTTGCTGTTTTAAAATACGATTCCGTAAATTCAATTCTTTTAATGATAACAATACATTAAGTTCCCTTAGTGTATTTTAAGGGTTGATTCCTAATGGAAGTGACTTCGCGAGTATTGAATAGATTTTTTTTGTCGCTTGTAAGTATATATATGTAAATTTTGAACAAAAATCCTTCTGTGTTTATTTCTTTTTTAATTGTGGAGAGCTTGTATAGATTTTGCGTTCATAAATGCTAAACAGTAATTTGGAACAATAATTTAGTACGGCATTTTTTCAAATATGTACATAGCCTTTAGTTACCAAGAGCTAAATCCATGTAAACTGAGATGAAATTAATTTTTTTTTGTCTGTTGTACGATGTAGGAACCTTTGAAGTGTGCATGTTTTGGTTTCCGAACAGATTTTGATTTTCTTTTAAAGTAAATGTCAGTAATTGTCATTTCTTTGAAACAGATTTCAATTATATTACTGCAAGATACTATATGGTTTTCAATATGTCACAAATCTAAATACAATATTTTAAGTGTTTACTTCGTATTTTGTTACGAACTGTTGGTTGGTGAATCTGTTCAGAAACCGTTTAGGTGAAAATGCTTTAATTTTATTTGAAAAGATGCCAGTGGTTTATAGCTATGGTATTTAAATCTGTAAAATCTTGGTGGAATGTTTAAATATATTTTGTTATGCTGGTTGACAAAATGCTCAATGATTGAAAGTCCTGGTGGCGGTTTGGCTTGGTCTTTGAATTACTTCCCACTTCTGAATATACTCGCTAGTTGTTTGTATTATAATGTAAGTAATAATAACTATATTTTTGTCAAGACTCGACTGCAGTCACATAAAACGCCGACAATATCGTAAATACATTGTTCGATTGGAATGTAACGTTGACAAATAAAATAGGAGGTACTTTCCCTATCCACGTGTAGAAAGGACGCTATATTGTGAAATGACCCAGCCAAAGCGGGACGGGGATAGTCCGCCGACAGCCAACGTGTCTCGGTGATAGGTCGGTATACATACATTGGGGGGTTAATTTATTATTCCATATATATTAAAATAAAAACAATGTAAAGTTCAAATTGTTTTATTCGACCCGTTCCTGTTCGGTATAACATTTTGACATTCATAGTTCTGTGATTAATTTAATTTTGAAATAAGTATAGTGCATGACCCAAATTAGCTCAGTGGCTTGCTGGTGGGTGTTTCGATGAATAAACTCTGGCTAAAAATAGGTCAAGATAGAAGAGACGCAAAGAGAGAGAGAGAGAGAGAGAGAGAGAGAAAAAGGAAACTTCCCTATTCAATAATATAACAATTGTCAGAGCATTTAATTTGGTACAATGATTATTTTTAATAAAACATGACTTCGTTTAATACATCGGAAACAAATACGGACAAAGAATTAAAATAATATATGTTAATTTGGTAAAAAATAAGCATTTTCTTTATCTTTATTGAAGTAATTTTCAAAGTTATGTGCAACGTTTACATGAAGATGTATTTATTGCAAACAGATAAAAAAATGCACTTGAGACGAAAATGAACTGCGTTTGCCCCTATGGAAATTAGCAGTCAAAACATATTTAACGCATATATAACGTGTGTTAACTTTTCTGAAAGACTTACGAAGTGAGAATCTTGAAAGGTGTAAGAGACGAGGATAACATGAAATACAATTTTTCATAACGGAACAACCCATGGGTTTTATTCAACAATATGTCAAATAAAACCATAAAGCTCACCATATCTATTTACCATACATAATTTAATCTTATTTCAATCATACTCAGTGCAAAATTTCTCAAAAACTCACTTTCAATCATGTTAGAATGTTTAATAATTTAAATCAAATTTAAATATGAGTTAATAACATTGAAAAAATTAATCAGTGATCGCCCCTCCTGTTGGAACTTCTTCCGTTTTTGCCTCATTTTCCGATAAGAATTCAATGCATCTGTTGAAAATATAATTTACTTAATCACAAAAACATCGTCAAAAACATTGAAAATAGGACATGGAGAACGAAATAGGTATGTTCGTTCGATAGGTAGTTCAGGAGCGTAAAATCCGTCTTCTTATTATTGGTTATAATTTATATTCTTTTATATTTATCGTGTTTATTTCCCATTACAATTCCCGACATGCAAAATGCTGCAAAATATTCAAACGGAGGAAATTAATATAAATACGATACATTAAAAGTCATCATTATCATCCTCCTGCCCTTATCTACTTAGGTGGGGGTTATTGTAAGTCGTTTTGGCTGTTTCTTTGCCTGCCTGACATCAACCCTCCTTGAGAACAAAGACCCAGATACGGAACAATTATCTGTTGGTCACACAAATACTTCTTCCGTGTCGGAATCGTACCCACGGCGCCCGGTACCGAAGCCAATAGCTTAGCAGCTGCGCCTATAATATTATAATCAAATTTTTTTAACATACAGACCTACATATTACGGCCCTTGTACTATGTAAGTAAAATGTAATAAATTGAACGTTAGTCATTCTTAATAGAACAGTAAGAAAAGATATTAGCTACAAATAATACCTCTTTTTTAAATAAGACACTACTACATAAATTATGATACTATACTTCTCTAAAGGCGGACATAAAAAGTGTCGGATATTGCGCGGCATAAAAAGATCTGCTTGCTCCTTCGAAACGTCCAGAGCATATTGCTCAAATTCTTTTATTATTTCCTCATCCACGGATGGCCCAATGCCTGGCACAGCATATACGACGATTATCTGAAAAACAAAATTTCGCAACAAGAATAATAAAAAAAGAAGATTTCTTGTATCAACTAGAATATCGTACATTATTAAATGAAATAATTTCATTCTTCATGGATATTATCAATTTAAATGTAAACGACTCGACTCGACGGAAAGAATCATGTTCCGCTGCTGGGCAAAGGCCTGCTCTATGCAGACGGTATTAGGGCATAGTTCACCACGAGACCTCATTACGGATTGGTTGACGTCACATATCCTCGAAATATTTGTTTTTGTTTTCGGGATTTAAAATCGGAAGGGAATTTTTGATTAAAGCGAGCAGCTGGACACCGAGCGATCATGATTATTGTAAAGTATTCGGAACGTCGCAAATTTTAATGTAAAAGATAATATCCGTATAAAATAAACTAACTTAATAAATGAAGTCCATGGGAATATAAAAAAACTTAATATAACGCTAATTATAAACGCGAACGTGCCTTTGTTGGATATCCTCCTTCCAAGAAGCATCTGGCATGACCATAAGCCTCATCATCATCATCATCATTATAATTTAAGAGCGGAAAAATGACAGACTATAAAAATAGTACCGATACCGCGTAATTTCCGATCTTTACTTTAATCCATCATCTAGTTAACACTAAGACAGCAAAAGTAATTATAGATAAAGAAAGTCTAGAGTTCACAAGGGTCTCAACAAATAAATATACATTATATTACCCCAAAAAATAGTTATCAAAAGGGAACTTTTTTAAGCACCCAAGACAAACTTTCTCACATCAGACATCACACAAAATATTTACATTGATCATTGGATTTAATTTTTTTATTCTCTTTTATCTCACTATTCCTAACTCTATCTGACAATTTTTTGTGTCTAGCGTCCTTCGAGTCAATAGCTGGATTCCGAACCTTAGGCAATGGCTTTTCCTCTTCCTCCGCTTCTTCTTCTTCGGGCACAATAACATCAATATTTTCATCGAGGAAATTTTCAAGCACTTCGCGAATCATTGCCACTTCCTCTGGCTTTGCCTGGAAACAAACTTAATACTCAACAAGGAATGCCCCAAAGTGTTTATGAAATCGAAATTGCGACAAACGGTAGAGTTTAGTACAGAAATAATTCCTGAATTTCATATGCGAAATAATGATGACAATATTCATATTAAATTCCGATATCCGAACACTGTTTCTTTAAAAAGGACTTTCAGAAAAGCTTCACATAAAAAGTGATTTTATGTTCTAAGGAACTATATTACCTATTGGTTATATATTACCAAAACTGGGTCTTTTCGCAAGAAAAACTTGTTTGAAAAACTATTCGCAAAATTAAATCTAAAAAACGAAAATGAGTTTAGTTAAGTGCCCGTATAATAACAATAAAGCCGATCAATTTAGTGAATGTTCTAGATAGTTCGACTTTCGAACTATACATTAATAATGCATAGGGATCAAGTCCATCACCTTTTTCTTCTTCAAGTCTGGGTCAGGCAAAATTGCAATCTGTTCGTTCACTTTGTCCATGATCTCTCGTTCCAAATGTGAAACAATAAATTCACCGCTTGTGGTGGACATTTGCCGGCCTGCCACCATTCCTAAAGTAATTGCAAAGACAATTACCACAGAGCTAAATGTAGATATTCCGCAATTACCGTATTCAATTCTCCAAACTTCTGACTACATCAAGTAGATAATTCTCAACACAATGTATATACACAAATAAATGTAGATGTAAACCGCTTTAAAAATATCTCGTATAACCAAATAATAACCCAAATCGTAGTTTGCCGTCTTGTACTTATCAACGATCGCGGCGATCTCATCGAAGGTTCGTATAAGGTCAGCACGGCGCTCATTGCGTGCCATTAAGCACTAGATAGAACGAAAAAACTAATATTAACGAGTGTTAAAACAGGACTATATATAATAGGAATATGACTACCAACTATTGTAAAAACATTGTAAAGGTGGGCATCCTACGTGTGACTAGGCTAAAATGATTTAAATATTACAGATATGTATATTTCAAACGTTTTCTTCACGTTTAATAATAAAAAAACTATTATCAAAAATAAATTTAACATTTGAATAATGAAATTTGGAATGTTGTGCTTTATTATATGTATAAGTAGAACCTCATTATTGTAATATATATGTAGTCTAGTTATTTCTTTTCAGAAATCATTATTTGCATTGTACACCATGCAAAATAATTAATTGTTAGTTATAGACGCGTAATGTGGTTAGAGCTCTGTAAAAGAATAATTCGACCACGCGTTTCGAAAAAGCATCACATGGGATGGTTTTGGTTCAGGATATGCGTGGTGTTCATTTCCGTTTGATATTATTAGTTTCATTAATTAATTATTAATGTGTCGATACTTCATCAACATAATCCGCGATATTCATTGGCTGAGCTTCCGCCTGCTGTTCTTCTATGTTACCTCCACCCTCCTCATTTTCAGATTCTGCCTCTTCGATGGTAACCTCAATTTTAGGCTCACCTAAGAATTGTTTTGTATAAGTTTCGTATTATCTCAACTAATAACTGTCAATAAATAACTTTGTCTCTGGTATCTAAATATCAAGTAAATGAAAAAAAAATTAAACTAAAAAAGGAGAAAAATCTTTATCAATAATAACAGAAAGGGTTGTGAGAAACATTAAATTATATCTTTGATTAATGAAAATAAATAATAAAAAAATGTAACCATAAATCTCGTAAGGTATCTCGACACCATTCTCATCATGAACAATAATAATGATGCCGCCTTTCTTTTTCTCTGGTTTCTTATCGGCGTCTGCTGATTCATCTGTTTTATAATTGCTGTGTGAGCATAATCTTACAAAACACCCAATGAATGTGTTTATTATTCCAATAACCTCAAAATAACAGTAGCACATATAAGTATCAGCCTATACATGTCCCACTGCTGGGCAAAGGCCTCCTCTGTACAGAGGGTATCAGAGCATAGTCCACCACGCGGCCCCACTGCTGACTGGGGGACTACACACATCTTCAAAATATTTTTTTATTATATTTTCGTAAATAAACAGGTTTCCTCACCATGTTTTCCTTCACCGCTGAGCACATGATAACTCAGCACTTAAAATTAACAATTTCATTGGTGCCGGCACCGGGGATCAAACTCGGGTTGCTCGAGTATATTGAATAAACTCGAGCGCCCGGACATTGAGCTATCACGGCACATATTAAAAATATTATTGACTGTTCGCATCGGCGAGACGTTTGGGTGTGGGTGGTCAAGGGTTTAGTAGAACACTATATTATTTTATTAAAAAAAAATATAACTTAATAAAAAAAATAACAATTCCAAAAGTCCAAGTTTGGACTACTTGCTTTGTTATACGAATAAGCCCTCATTTATCGATTCCTTTGTCTTTATGATACTTTTATTGGTTTTAGTGCACATAACATATTTTTGTTGCTTCACTGTTAAAATGCCCAAGCAGGGCCTAAAAATTATATAACATACCTTTGTTTTGCGTATCTTCAGGGCTCATTTTGGACGCGCTCATTTCCCGCAATTTTTGCTACAATGAATAAATAAATTTATATGCATATGTACAAGGAAATTAATTACCTTTGAACTCATTTCAGTATAGGAGACATTTCAGGACACATTTTTACATGACGTTTTCTAGTCCTAAACTAAGCAACTCTTGTAGTACGAGTACTAGTAAACTGATAAACAAACTTTTCTTATACCTATTAATAAAACGTAATATATAAACACCCAGACACTGAAAAACACTATGTTTGCCTCATTTTTAAATTGCAATTGCATTGCATTCAGTGTCAGGTCTATTTATTTTATGTTACCTATTTCTTATTTCACTTCAACTTCAGAAAAGTTTTACATGAGTTTTATAAAAAAAAAAAACACAATAACTAACCTTTTGAGTACCACAATTAAATAGTTTTACTTTTTCAAATGTGAAAAAAAAATATTTATATCAATTAGTATGGACGATTTCCAAACACAGCCCCAAATAAAATGTAAATGTAAACCCTAATTTAAATTCTGCTATAAATGTTAACAATAGCTTCTATTTTGCTAAATATAAGGGTAACAACACGATTCACATGTCGTGCCGACCCCATCTAGGCGCCATGGAGCAAGGGCAAGAGAAAGAAGACACACACATAATAAGATATTACTACTTAAATAAGATCTAACAATGCAATGTATTTACTAACATCGATTTCTTCGTCCGGCTGAGGTCTCTCTGAAAAATTTTATTAAAATAAAGACTACTATTAAATATTAACTAAAAAGTAATGGAAATTATATTATGTTGTTTTTTAGTACGTTAGTACACTGTGCTGGAACTTCCAAACGATAGTTAATTTAACATCATAACTACAAACTTGCTTTGCAACAGTAAGTTAATAAGGTGCTTAACCCATCGCTATTATTGCACAAATGATGTCAATCTTTAACTAATACCCAAGTCAATTCTATACTACGGTATTACAGCAAACCTGCCCTCTCCCTCAAATAATCCTCCCGCTCTAACTGTTCCGCCCTCTCTACTGAAGGCGACCTTTCTATCTTGCCAATGATTGGCATGTTCAGCTTCACGCTTATTCTGGCCGAGCGGGCTACTTTGTCGTCTATCAACTTCAACTTCCTCAGATCGTCGTCTTGCCAAAAGTCATCGCACGACGTCTACGGCGTGCGGACAGAAGGGAGAAAATTAACTACTGACTGTGGTAGAGCCACACAACAGTTCGCTGTTGCACAAATGGGAAAAACGTCCGGGGAAGTGCCACGACCTCACTGAAGACCGGCGTGAAGTGGATGTGTTATACTTCTGCGTTGTCTGCTGAGCGAGGTGACACTTTATAAAAACTCTTTTGCAAAACCATAGCTACTACTTGATTGCCATCGGCCAATTGCAAATGAGCTTGTCACACTAAACGTACGCATTTTTCGCTGCGATATTGAAATACTCTATTTTTATTGCATGTCATCTTTTCGTCATGTTTTTGCATGTCTGTCCTCTTTGGATGATTTTTTTGTTCCCAGTCGTATTTATTTATTATCCCAGTTTCCATGTCGATTGTAGCGACGAGCAATATGAAATTAAATAAGTCAATTGTAGCGACGAGCAAAATGAAAGTAATAAGTATAACTACATTAATAATAGTTGAACAGATTGTTAATAGTTTTTTTTTATGCGAAAAGTTGTCAAACGAGCAGACGGTTCACCTGATGTTAAGTGAATGCCGCTGCCCATGGACATCTGCCACACCCGAGGGTTACAGATGCGTTGACAACCTTTTGAAAATTGGGCTTCGGCTACCTCACTCACCAGACGAAACACGAAAGTATTTGTCATACTTCCACTTTACGCTGGTCTTCTGTGAGGTCGTGGTACTTACCCGGACGGGCCTGCCCATTCGTGCAACAGCCGAGGCTGCTGCGTGACCCTCCCACCGTAAAAGTTATTACCACCGTAAACTTTAAGTTTTATTTGAAATAGCGAGACCAAACAAACGGTTTTTTTTCTTACATTTGTTATTTACATATCAATAAAGGTCAATTACATTTTGTGTAAAGCTCAGTTGAATACATAGAAAAGCTTATCATATAATAAAGTTTTTACTATTAGTATTCTAATAAAATATATAAAATTACTGACACCCACCTCTTCAGACAATGTCTCTGTCGATTTCACCATTTCGCTCTCTGTGCTTTCAGGTTCTGGCGGCGGCGCTTGTCCTTTGTAAGAAAAGTTTTTTGGGTTCGAATACAATAATAATTTTATATATAGTGAAATACATAGTAACGATTACATTTGTCACTCTTAATGCCAAATACCTTCACCTTATTTGGACAATAAATAAATTTTATAAACATAGCACTATGTTAATAAACAAATAATAATAATTAATAAATATTTCACGACACATTATTACACAACGTTTTCTAACCCCCAAATAAGCATCGCTTTTACAGTGCGTACTAGATAACTGATAAACATACTTAATTATTCTTTTCCTTTTTAAATAAATAAAATTTATAAATATATAAACACACAGACACTGGAAAAACACTATGATCATCACACAATATTTTTCCAGTAGTGGGGATCGAACCCACAATCATTTATCATATATACGATTTTATCCCTCTTATAAGCCGTACCTTCTCTAAATCCGTTGAAGTATCTAACATCTTTGGAGGCGTCCATACGGGCCAGTAGTCGATACATGGTTAGGAACTGTTCCACTGGTATGGCAGCAGAACCGCCGTCTGGCTCTTTGGTGAGAGTCTCGCAGACGAGAATCATCGTGTGTGTCAGAGTCTGCAATTTATTCGAGCGATAATTTGCAGACTGTCTCGTTCTGCCCTGTAACGATTTATAGGACAGAAGGAGACAGTTGGTGTCAAATTTGGTAGAGGCACGCAGCTTGTGATGTTGCGTAACTCTTAAAACTGGATTTCGCGTGGCGAGTGAACTGAGGGCGAACCTTTCAAAAGCTAGAAAAGTTTCCTAGCTAGCAGGAGTTTCACCTGATGTTAAGTGAATATCGCCGATACATGGATAAATTGCTATACCGGAGGGTTTGCAGATGCGTTGACAACCTTTAAAATAAAGAGGACCCCGTCCACCTCACCAGACGAAACGCCTAAATATTATACTTTTACTTCACGTCGTGGTAGTTCCCCGGACAGGCCTGCCCATTCGTGCAATAGTTACATTACACCCAGTTAATTTTTTTTTATGTGAAAAGTTGCCAAGCGAGCAGACGGTTCACCTGATGTTAAGTGAATACCGCCGCCCATGGACATCTGCTACACCCGAGGGTTTGCAGATGCGTTGACAAACTTTTGAAAATTGGGCTCCGGCCACCTCACTCACCAGACGAAACGCGAAAATTTTATACTTCCACTTATCCCGGTCTTCTGTGAGGTCGTTGTACTTATCCGGACGAGCCTGGCCATTCCTGCAACAGCCGAGGCTGCTGCGTGGCTCTACCACTGCGAATGACCATTAATGGACCACACGAATGTTGTAGGCGATTGCTACTGTCCATGGGAAAAATTTTAGTTGTTGAGAATATGCGAAAATTAAAAACGTCCGCGGAGTGCGTGGTCTGTAAACCTCCAGTCAGAGTGGATTTAAGAACGTAGAACTTAAGGTACAATCAAATTAAAAAAAACAGTAATTTTTTTACCCTTGCTGAGGTATTTTAATGGCAAAGACCATGAGAGAATTTAAAATAATTATGTCGGCGCAGTCCGTGTTCAGTTCGAAAAATTATAGTTTAAGGCACGGAACTAAACGGAAAATCAATAAAAAGATATTAAAAAATTACCTTAGTCAGCAGTCCGCCCGCAACCGCTACGAAATGTAACAATGGAACACTATCCTCTCTCATGTATACATCGCAGAGACATAAAATCCTCTTTAACTCCTCATAATCCAGACAGAAGCCTTGCCAAGCTGCTTTTAATGCTAACAGTGGAACTGCTTCCATGCTCGATAACTAAAAGTTCATATTATAAGTACATACCTACATATAGAATATAAGCATTAACCTACAAAAATATTCAAATTAAAAAAAAAGGTTCAAAGCTGGAATACAGATACAACAAACTTAAAATGCCGCTTTCTTAATTCTACTATCTATCTAATCTCTATTGAAAGTTTATATAACATTGTTTGTTTAAATTTAAGCTTGGATTAGAATATAAAAGCAGAAAACAGTACATATAGATTTCATATACACATTGTAAAATGTAAAACGTAGTTTTAGTAATATCGACCGATCGATTTATTCTCATTACCTGTTGTTTTAATTCGACTTGATCATTGAGTATGTGAGGCAGATACAAACACATTTTCATGTTTTTCATGTGTATGGGTAATGATAATTACATATATACAGGAGTATTATAGCCGTCACATGTGTCTGTAGTTTGCAATCAGTTTTTTTTTTTACAAAATCCGGAATTTGAAAATTAAATATGAGAGAATTGGGAAACATGTGAACAATGAACGTCTTTATTTCCTTATATCTAGCGGTTTCTTATTTATGAAAGAACGTGTCAAATAAGTGCTTTCTTTTTATTAAAGAAAAGTTTGCAATCGATCATACCCGATGTTACTGAGTTACCACCGGCTGCAACACCTGTGGAATTGCATGCGCGTTTCCAACCTTTAAAAAAGTTACCACACTCACCAGAAGAGACGCTAAAGTATAAACCATCCACTTAAAATGGTTGTACTGTGAAACTTTGGTACTTCTCCAGATGAGCCTTCCCATGAATGCGAAGGCAGAATGAAAAGATCACTTAGGAAAACCTCTCTAATCTGGCCGATTCCCAGCAAGATACTCCCTATTTGGGGAGGTAGATTTCGGATGCAGACCTGATGGGCCAACACCTTCAGGCATCCTCTGGTCAGGCCGCCCAAGGTACAGTATACCGGATACTCCAGACGCAATTTCACGGGCGGCGGACGGTGCTGGGCCAGCGCGCTGAAGTATTCGTAGGACCACCGTAACAGATCGTAGGGCTGGGTCTTAATGGCGGCTGTAATGAAACCATTTAATATTTATTAATAAATTATGTCAAAACTATCACACATACACTCATTTGAAACTAGATTTATTTCTATTATTAATTTAATTTTTTCTTCACCCGAAGGATCACGCAATGGCGAAAATATTTCGATAGCTTGTCTACAAAATCACATTTCATTCGGTTTCTTTTTTTTGCGTGCGGCAATACTATGCAATGTTATCTATATGTAAGCAGTTTACAAAATAAAGCTAAAACTAAGATATTTAAAGATAACCTGAAAAATAATGGAATAAAATACCCTTACGTACCTTTACAATAGCGCTTTAAGATGTGGGGATATTTGGGCGGTATCACAATCTGCTGGGAGCAGTACATCTGTTCAATTAACTCGGGCATCTCGCGCGGTTGTCTTGTGTTTCCTGTCATAAAAATGTCAAAAAAGGAGTGCTTATTTTCTTACACCTTGAGATGATGAAATGCAGTAATTACTTACAATCTTACTATAATTTTCGGATATTTTCGCGTTTAATTTTAATCCCATTCCGAATCCTTTAAGGAGTCTATGGTTCACACTATGAGAAATTCGTAAACTAGTTTTATTTAACAATAGATTCACGTAAGATCACGAAACCATTAAATATAAACTAAAATTATATGTCATCTAACAAACCTCACCGGTGCCAGGAACGCTTCCTAGCTGAACAGTTATTATACTTAACCTTAAGGTTAAGTATAATTACTTAACCTTCGAGTGATAAAAGAGCCACCCCTCTTGTCACCAGCAGCAGCGATAAGCGTAGGATGTAAATCAGTCAAAAATTTTGAAGTGCGGGGCCCCGCGGACCCATGGACTAAGTTATCAACAGCAAAAGGCACAAACACAAAATCTGCACGAAGGGACTCATATTTGGACCATTTATTTACTTCAGCTGCCTCTGATGACGCCCTGGCCCTGGCCGAAAAACCACTGAGCTAAGAGGCTGAGAGGGGGTTTTGTATCTGATATCACCCAAATCTATATTCTTTTTAATTTAATTGAATAATCATTATATTAATCGTATTCCCCCTGTAATGCAAAATAAATGAAATCGAAATAACTTACCTACGTTATTAAAGTATTCGGTGAAGTTTGTTTGTCAATGAGTTGCTATGGCAACATCTGGTGATAGAAAATACCTGCCAATCTTTGTCAATATTTTTCAGTTGACGTTGTTTACCCTAAATCATAGATGTTATCTTTTACTATAAGTATACAATAATCCATAGAAATATTATAGTTTTATTATTATATAACATTTGAAATTTCTTTTTGAAATTGCGAGCTTTTATTATGTTATGCTCCCGCACAGCGTCTTGAAATTAACATCATGAAGTAAGAAAGGACCATTAAGTTAGTGGATAGTATTTTTATTTCCTTCCAGCTGACTTTAAAGCGTTCAATATTTTCTTTATACAAATCTGAAATGTTAAAATTGTAAACGTATTTCAATACTCTATTTTCCAAGTATTCCCTTTGTTGTGTACCAAAACATGTTCCGTGATATAATACTGGGAATTTGCCATAAATGTTAACATTATTTTTACAATTATTCGTATATATTGTATTATCACAATCGATCTTACATATGTATATATTTTCTGCTTAATTGGTAAAAGGTTTTGTATTATTTATCAATTTATTAAGCAGAAAAATCAATATCAAGAATTTAATGAAATAATTCTCAAGAAATATGGAGAAATTTTTAAGGCCCGAGAAATTTGAAACTGATTCTTAATCTGCTACCGTGGCACACAAATCAAGACATTGGTATATAACTTTTGAATTTTTTTGGCTATCAATGCTGTAAAGAATGAAAAAGCAAAATTTCAACTTCTGATAAACCATATTTCGTCAAAAGCATATGGATATGTATGTCTTTGCCTTAGCTACAAAGATGCGGTCAATAATTTAGAGCTTGCATTCGTTAAACCAAAAAATACAATTTTCGCAAGACACAAGCTTATTACATTAAAACAGGAAAACGTGGACACGATTTAACAGTTTATACATAAATTATAACTTACTTAAATTAGAATTTACATGTGTTGGCTGAAAATATTAAGAGGATTATATGAGTATATAGGAGATGCCTTCATTTCTGGTATTTCATGTAATCTCAGACAGAGATTATTAGAAAATTTATCACCTTCTTTATGATGATATTATGATTAAGCATATAACAAAGCAGTTTCATTGGAGCTAGCGAACTCCACTGTTCAAGAATATTAGATCAATCCAGTAAACGTTTCGCAATCACAACATCATGTCAAAAATGATGAGTTTTCGTAAGCTCATCAGAATAAAAGCCTAACTTTATACAGTCGAAGGAAATGTTTTTTTTGTGGCGGAAATTTGTGACCTGCAAGGAATGCGATTTGTCAAATATGTGATAAAGGGGACATTGGGCCAAAGCATGTCGTAACTCAAAGAAACCTGAAAAAGCCGCATGGAAATAGATAATATGGACGCTGTAGCTTCTGTCATAGCTGCATCACCTGCATGCCTTGATAAAGCAATTGTAACTATATAGAAATGGAGTAGATCTCAGGCTTTAATCGATTCACGAAGTTCTAGAAGCTACATTAATAGTTTGTTTTTTGATTGTCTAATAAAAGAAGAATGTTCAGAGAAAGTAACAATGGCTACGACTAATTAGACATCGAATGTAGAAGGCATATTTATAAAATATTAAATTACTTATTGTAAAACATCTATACGCGGGTATTATTATCGGTCATGATGTATTAACTCAAAATTGCAAAGTTCAATTAAATTTTGGCGGTCCAAGAGCAAACCTAGAAATATGCGGAGTAACCGCAGCTATGATCCCTCCAGTATCAATTTTTCTTAACTTATCGTCGAAATGTAAACCTATAGTCATTAAATCTCGACGTTTTTATAAAGATAATTTAAAATTAATTAATTTTGTAGAATAGCATTTGGAGTTCCTAATGGTTACACCATTAGGAACTCCAAAGAACTATTGACTGGATAATACGAACGGACAATCTACCTACGTTCGTGTCCTACCTAGATGATGTTACCGTATGTGGTAAGAATAAAGACGACCATGACTAATCTAGAGAAGTTTGTCTGCTGTCAAAAAGTACAACCTTACTTTACATGAGAAAAAAATGTGCATTTTCAATTAAATGTATTTCTATTCTTGGATATAACATTAATAATAAAAATATCACTCCAGATTTAGAAAGAATCAAACCTCTACAAAATTTGACAATTCCAAGAGATGCTGCTTCTTTAAGAAGACAGTAGGAATGTTTTCACGTTATTCTAAATGGATACCGAAATTTTTATATTAAGATTCCAATTATTATAAATAACAATAACTTTCCGTTGAACAATGATGCTGTAAATGCTTTCAAAAGTTTAAAACAAGAAATAATTAAGTCATTTGTTGACGCCATAGAGAGTTGAAACGGATGCATCAAATTTCGCAATCGGAGCGACACTTTCACAGGAAGGGAGACCTGTTGCTTTCTTTTCAAGATCACTAACGGAGTGTGAAAGAAAACACGAGAAATAAATTTAAAAAGAAACATTGTAGAATCAGTCAGTATGTGGAGACATTTTCTAATAGGACGATAATTTCGTTTAATAACTGTTCAGAATTGGCTATCGTTTATGTTTAACACCAAGCATAATAGTAAAATTTTAAATGATAAGATTATGAGGTGGCGCCTGAAGCTCTCTTGTTTAAAATTTCACATTATATATTGACCTGGGAAAGAAAATGTTACAGCAGATACATTATCTCGAATGTGTGCATCTGTTTATACAGAATCTAAACTATTTTTTTTACACGCATCACTTTGTCATCCTGGAGTCACTCGAATATTTCACAGGATGCGTACTAAAAACTTACCATACAGCATTGATGATATACGACAAATGACACGAGGCTGTAAAATATGTGCAGAAATATAACCTAAATTTTGCAACAGTCCCAGAGTATTAATAAAAGCCAGAAGTGTATTTGAAAGATTAAACATATATTTTAAAGGACCACTCTACCTTCAAATTAAAATAATCAGTATCTACTCACTATTATAGACGAATATTCACGATTCCATTCGCATACCCCTGTGAAGACACATCTACATCGAGTATTATTAGGTGTTTGATAAATTTATTTTCTATATTCGGCATACCCTGATACCGGGTGAATTTTCTAAAGGTGCCCAAATTCACACACGAGGTTCAGACTCGGTAGTATAATCGTTTATTGAAATAAAAACAAACTTTTTTTTTCTAAAAAAAATAGAACTTGTGTGCGTGTTAGTATGTATGAATGATCGCGCGTAAAATAAATGAGTTGCCCATAAATCACGCACTTTCTGAGATAAGTTCAAATGAATGTAATTAATTAATTAAGAGTGATTTTAAACATTTATCATTTTTATATAACAGTAGCTGGAGGGCCTTGCTCGGTTTTTTGATAAGTCGTGTATTTAGGACATTGAAAAAATAAAAAATAAAGAAAGCAATGATCTGGTATAGAAAAAAAAGTAAATAAATAAATGAGTAAAACATCGTGACACGAACCGCAGCCTTCTGTTGCAGGGCCGCCCGATTACCGACCGCGCTATTATAACATTTATTTCCGGCGAAATTTACCGTCATATTCAAATGATATTTTTCATTCCCTGAAAACAGGGATATAAGGACATTTTCTAAAAATGAAACCGATTAGACCGATTTTTCGCCCCCGAATCTACGCACATACCTACTAAATTTCATGAAAATCGCTGGAGCCGTTTACGAGATTCCGATTATATATATACATATTCTTATTTATATATATATATATATATATATATAAATAAGAATGGCTCGTTTAAAGGTTTCAGATTATTTATGTTTAAAATTTAATAAAAAACTGGATACACTTAGAAAAGCCTCGCTGAATACATTCTAATAGAGATCATGAGAGATCATCATTTATGTCCCATGAATTAAAGGTCTATTTACAAAGTAAAAGCTACAAGTCGAACAACATCGTATAATTCGCAAGGAAATGGGCAGGCGCAACAATTTAATGGCACGTAGTGGAAGACAGTTCAATCGGCTTTAAAAACAAAAAAATATGATATAAACCAACGGGAGAGGGTATTGGATCAGTCATCGATACAATACAAAATGCTAATGTAACACCTCACGAAAGGATGTTCAAGCATAATTGAAGATCAGAAAAGGGGTCAACATTACCACCGTGGTTGATGGTGCCAGGGCCAGTTTTCATGAAAAAGCAATCAAGTGAGGTGGCCGGAGCCCAATTTTCAAAAGGTTGTCAACGCATCTGCAACCCTCGGGTGTATCAGATGCCTATGGTCTGCGGTATTCACTTGACATCAGGTGAACCGTCTGCTCGTTTGGCAATTTATCACACTAAAAAACAATCATCGGGCTTCAAAATTTTCACATGTAGGCGAGGAGGTGGCGCTATCACAATCAAATCCTGACTTGTGTTCGTCTACTACCCGTTCGGTATGTTCGGTTACCCGATGGAAGGGAAGCAATGGTATCCAACAGACATCTAGCGTCTGTAGATTCACCTGAGTTTATCGAAAATGCTACGGAAATTGAAGAAAATAATAATAACATAGACCTTCCAAGTGAAAATATACGAGAAGAAAATAATGAACAATGTAGAGAAGTAACGACAGTAGAGCGATCGGGCAGAACTAAAAAGCGGCCAGAATATTTAAAAAAATTATGTTACTTTTACTAGATAGGGTGAATAATATAATACTGGATTTTTGCCATAAATATAAATATTATTTTTAAAATTATTCTTTTGAATGTTCTTTATTACTATCACAATCGATCTTAAATATGTATATATTTTCTGCTTAATATAACCTAATATTTAGGTTCTGTATTATTTATCATTCCGTTAGCTTGTCTTATAACAATAAAAAAAAGTTCTTATATAACCGAACTTTGCATAAAATATCAGAACAAAGGCATAAAATTCAACAGAAAAACTGATCTTCTCGGTTGAAAATTGTTAATTTTTCTATGTGAAAAGTTGCCAAGCGAGCAGACGGTTCACCTGATGTTAAGTGAATACCGTCGCCCATGGACATCTGCTACACCCGAGGGTTCTAGATGCGTCGACAACCTTTTGAATATTGGGCTCCGGCCACCTCACTCACCAGACGAAACGAAAAGTATTATACTTCCATTTTACGCCGGTCTTCTATGAGGTCGTGGTACTCACCCGGACGAGCCTGCCCATTCGTGCAACAGCCGAGGCTGTTAAAAATTTGTGGGGCGCTTGTTTTTAGGATCAATGTTTTATGTAACTCTAGAAACTCCAGACATAACCCTAATCCCATACTTTGATTGTTCTTTTAAATCTTTATTATAGTCCCTGAACTTAACAAAATAAGGTAGCAACTTGCAATTCCAATTAATCAACATAGAAATATTTCTATTTGAAAGGAATTTTTAAAGGCAATAAAACTTTAATGGTTAGATTGATACGAAAAAAGAATGTGGCTAATCTGAAAATTAATTACAATCTGCCGCTGTTTCCAATGGATTATTCTGCCATCTAGCGGCGTTACATGAAACTACGATAACTATATTGATCACGTGGTAGAACCTGTTCGATAGAAAAAAACAAAAACCTGTTTAGTCGGGGTGACGTTTCGCCACTGTTTTTATGTTAGAAGTTTTAAGAAGGATTCATACAACGCCGTAGTTTAAATTTATAAATTTCTATGTGAAATTGGATCTAGCTCGTGATTAAGTTTGAGAAACATTACTAACGGTACTTTATATTGAGTTTGCGCACTAAAACTTGATAATTGACATTTGAGACTGCACGATTCGACGGGTTGAATGAATCCAGTGTGATAGTTCTGCATTGTATCACATTGAATTGAATACAAACACGGAAAAAATGTGCAAGCGGTGATACCGTCTTTGCGGCATTTAAGTGAAGTGATTAATTATGTATCAGTGCATAGGTGTCACGTTGCACCGGATTAGTGACCCAAAATAGTTCGAAAGAAATGGGTGACAGGCTGAAACACCCATTTAAAGTGAAAACAAAAACATTGGTGATTTTATGAAAATGGATGTATTTACGGACTTCTCTGTTCTAAGTAAGTAAAAATATCTGTTCTTACATGCGTACGCGCTGTGGAAACTTTTATTTGGAAAAAACGGAACTGTTTATGTTGCGAAATTGTTTACTTACCTATTCAAGATAACATTATCTAACTATAATGTTAATGACTGAAAAAAACGATATTATGCTTTTGGACTGTAGCTGTATCGTCTATTACTAAACACCAAATCCGGAAAAGATTACCAGCATACGGCCTACTTTCTAGTTAACTTGACTTATAGATAGTAATAATTTTTTCTCGAACGTGACTTTTAACGTAAGTTTTTTAAAATAAGGTATTAAATATCAAGTTCAAATTAAAACTACTAAAGTAACTTATCTTTGACCTTCAAGTCAAAATTAATGTTTTCTCATTTTACTTGATTAACTCCGATAATTTTGATGCCTTTGTTATGCATTTTCTATACGTATATGACATTGCCTTTCATTTGTTAGTACTGTTTACGCATAAGATTTTTTTTTAAACTTCTGGCTATTTTTTTACTTTTTGCCAGTTTCAAAGTCTCATAAGATTTTCTCTTCTCCATTCATTCCGATCGCATGCTATCAACATCAATTGACGGGTTTAAAAAATTTGTAATGCAAATTACAGATAGCTTTTGTTTTTGGGACACCACTCGACCTTACATAGCAATAATTAGAGATGCAAATCAAAGCAACGGTATTTCTCGACATCTGTGAAAAATAAAAAATCCCTTTATTACATTAATTAATAAAAATACGCTATGATGGACTTGACCAATTCTGACGTCAAAATCACAACTATCACGTTATGATTATGAAATTTGTGCTACTATATTTTATTTAATTATGATCTGACTTGTTCTTGACTGAATTATGGTCATGCTAAAAATACCTACTTTAATAACAATATCATCGCACCATCGTTTATCTTGATTCGGTATACCATATACGTATATAGGGAGTGAACAATCCTGCGTAATTGTATTGTTCGTGAAATTCATGACAATCTTTTTTTTTTATTTTCATTTTTCTTTAATTTTGTTTGCAATTTTCCACGTTTCGTTGTGAAGCACCAAGTCTTACCATTCGCCATGTCCGCGAAGCAACTGTCGGGATTGCTCGATTGACCAATAGCCTCTTGAGAATCATGTCAAGGGAAGTGTAAGGCATTACGCCTAATTCCTCGCCTGCAGCGCTGAATGGGATCACAATGGACAATGCGGGCCAATCGACGCTCCTATTCCCAATAACACATTTGTCCGGTCGTCATTATATACTTGCTAACGCGTCACAGAGATAACAAGCGAACGGTTCGGGTAGCCAAATTTATTTCTCGTCAGATGTACTCGTACGATGGGCTCCACCGGCTATAATGATATTGGAGTGCTGACTGTTATGAAAGTCGGGAATATTTATAGTGGGTTATTCTGTTACCCTATGACTACAATAGATCTTATATGTCACAGTGGCCGTTACTACCCCAACCCCTTCCACACTCACAAATTTATCAACGCACGTAATGACCGGTTCATCACAAGATCACCCTAAAGTAACCTTATTTACGATTAGACTTCTGTGTAAGCCATATGATATAATAGGTATTATCATAGTTAATTGTGTGTAATGGATTGTTTTTTATTAATAAGTTGAAATATTCTTTTTTTGACATAATATGTCTACAATTCATTATTTACCTGTATTTAGTTAATGCAGTCCCAATAAAGTTGAGGGATCTGATTAAACAAATCGAACAAAAACCGATATTACTATTGATATCATCATTTTAAGTTTGTGTTACGTCTATTTTTAAACTGTCTAATGTTAATAAAAGCGGGAGATGAATAATTGCTTGATGGCTTTTTTTAAGCCTTATATGGTGACAAATACTCTTTAGTGCGTTGTCGGAATAAGCCGCGATACGACGTAAACAACATATTTTATTTGATCTTGACCTTCATTCGGCTAATGATGTCACATGCGAATCACGAAATCCTTATTTTTGGATTTATTTAAATTATCAGTATCGCTGTATTAAGGTGAACGAGACTTCAATTGATTACAACCTCGAATTAGTAATTGTTTAATTGTCGCAGCCTGTGTCATGGTATGACGATGGCTATCATGACGATTTTACAAACTGGATGCGCTAGCCGAAGATCAGGCTAATGCCGTCCTTAGTCGGGGTTTGCAGCGGTTTTATACCGCAGCCGGGAACGGCGTGATGATCATCACTGGGGAGTTGTATTCGCGGTCAGAGCTTGTATCGCAGATTCGAATTCCGGAGGCGCGCATCGATTTCCGTTCCTCAAATTTCAGTTCAAAGATCAGTCTTACACGTGAAAGCAGTGAGAGCTTAAAACAGTGAGAGCTTATTTCTAGCCTATGCTCAATAAATAACTGCTAAATCTATGATGTTTATAATGTAAAAAAGTTTTCCGAATATAGGTACTAATTATCACACTAAGATTATATATTATGCCTTTGATTTTTTAGCACAAGGATTGCCCAGGTTAAACGTTAATGAGGTAGCATTTTTATTAAAAACCAATTACTTTTCGGTTACTTGTAGCAATAATAAGATTTAAAATATCTGTGATTTGATATTAGTACGGTACATTGGGGTTGAAATACTCGGTAAAAATCGAAATAAAAGTTCAAAATCGGGGTTGCACAAGTTGTAATATTGACAGTTGAAGTAGTTTAATTAAATATTATTATGTAAGATAATAAAGAATACAAATAAAATAAACTACTACCCAGCAATAAACAAGTTACCCAGCTCGCTTTTTTTTTTCACTGAAACAAGAATAGATGTACACCCTTTGCCTGTGGCGTGGCTGGTTCATACACGCGAGTACAATATTTAGATGGCAAGTGTGAAGTACTTGTCCATTTGTAGTTCGTTCTTTGTTGAGTCAGGTAAACACGCTCACACGCAATCACAGGTGTTGTGGACGTCGTTGTGCGGCTGTACTAGCATCTTTACTGTAGTGGAGGCCACAAACACTTTGGTGTTGGACAAGCGGGAAAGCTCGTCCGGGGAATTCCCATGGCCTAACAAAAGACCGGTATTATATACCGTATTATTATACTTCTACTGTAGTGGAAGTAACCTGGGCCGAATTTTTTAAATTTGGCGACTGCTACCATACGGTTCTTGAAGATGTCCATGGGTGGCGGTTATCACTTAACATCAGGTGAACCGCCAGGTCGCTTGTCATCGCACATGTAAACATCATATGAGAACTAATTGCTCATGCTCTACCTTTTCGCTTTTAAAGGTCGATGTAATTTTTTTATCAGTCAACTAGTTTGTGCTTATAAAATTGTCCATGAAAATATAAATCCATTTATCGTCGAACTTCACTCGCCGAACAGCAAACGAATCACAATTTCATGGCGTGAAGATGAAACAGATTTATTGTTTGGTATAAACTATAAAGTACTCTTCTACGTGAGCTATTGCTTACCCCGCGACGCAACACTAACATTCAAGCAAGTTATTTTTGTTTCTAACTAATCTCACTGCAGATGACGTAATGGCATCGGACCTGGAATCATAAGGTCACAAGATTTCTTTTTGTTCAATTTTTTTTACATTTACCTTTTTTACCTTTACAATTTATTAAATGACTACTGCTTAATTATAAAGTAGGTACGTAATATTAGTTGTTCATAATCTACGAAATTTATTAACCTGTCATTGTATTTCGATGACTCCGTGGCGCAGTAGCCAAGACATTGCCTTCGGTGCCGTGTTAGTGGGTTCGATACCGACACGGAACAACTATTTGTTGAATCACAGATAATTGTTTCCGATCTGGGTGTTTGTCCATGTGAAAAATGATGTTTGAAAAACGTCCAAACAATACAGGATAAAATTATCCTTATGTAAGGCGTATGTACTGTCTACAGAAACGTTACTCGCCGAATTTGTGTTGCAACAAAACGTACCAACACTATCGGGGTTGCAAACAAACAAACAGCAGACTCGCTCACGCGCGTCGGTATCGCTATCAGAACTCGTACCGATGGCAAAAACGTCCTCCATTAATTATCTCTCAGCGGTTATCGTGCAACACTGGTCTGTGCTCGAATCTGTTAATAGTCCTATTCATGTATATATATAATCAGAAAATCATCTGAATGGAATGAAATTGATACCTGATTATGGCGAAATATGTTCGTAACGGCGGCAAATTAAATATATCATAAAACCTGTTAAAGAGTTTTGGTACATTTATTTCATAAGAGGAATAATACCGTCTTGCGTTCTTTTCTTTAAAAAAATCATCAGTACTACTATTGGATACGGTAATTACGGAGTTTTACAAACAATATTTATACGAAGACTATAATTAATGATAATTGGCCATATAAATATTTATCCCTAGTGGGAGTCGAACTCCCAACCCACAGTATCGAAATGAAGCTTTGCATCGCCGCCAATCGAGGCATAAACTCGATAAGTAGATTGTGATAAGTTATTTTGTTTTGTTATTTAATTTTTTGTCACGCCTTATAAAAGCCAACGGGACGAGAGATGAACGTAAAACTTAGATATGGTCTTGTCCATTGTATGTAGATTTGATAGATGTTGCTTAAACAACGTGCTTTTAGGGATTACTTGTATATTGTAGCACCGTTATTTTTTATCGGTGACAACACGAAGGGCATAATAGTAAACACGATAGGATCTATCAATTGCAAGTTCTAACGACTAATAACCAAAGTAATATTTGCTTCATCTAATCAGTATGTAGGCAATTCAGTTAATTACCACCGTTACCACACGAGAGTGAAAGAATAAGATTACTGGATTGTAATGTTAATAATAGGTATAGCAACTACGATTGATGAGTTTTGGACACTTCATATAAATACATTTAATATGTTATAATTCATATAAATACATATAAATACACGTTTCCTATTTTTTTACAATGTCCTAATAACACGAGCGGGCGAGTTTGGATACCCTACCAAACTAGCACACAGTTTCTTTGAATT